TGATTTTACCAGTATTTTATTATGCTTGTGTGCAGTGGATTTTGCTTTCAAGGAACTTAAAAATCCACTAAGTAAAAGAAGACGTTGACTACAGATATTTGAATTCTTGGCATGTTCGATAATTGTTCTATTGTATTAGCTTATATAAAATATAAATAAAGAAAATTGGATTTGCGATTTTAAAAAGTATAATGAAAGCATTTGAGATGAAAAACATTTGAAATAAAAATGCTTTATCAAAAATAATTGATTCTGGAATTGTACTGTCTTTTGGGCTAGCCATTCTATTTTGTGAATGGAAAAGGCAGAGAGTGAATGTTACGGGGGCTTTGGAATGGAGAACCTTCTCTCATGGATTTCTGTGTTATTGTTATTATGAAAATAACTACATTGTAGATGAGTCATAGAGAAAATCTGACCACTTCAATCAGCCACATACACAAGATGGTTCACATTTTGGCATGCTTATTCTGTGCTGTGTAAACACAATTAATCATCATACTCTAACAGTGTGTTCCCTTCCACTTCACACTGTAGTTTGTTGTTACACTAAAAGGGGGCAGAACTGGTTCCTGTCTTCTCTCTCCTACACTCGCACGACACTTCTGATGCCAGATGTGTGGGGTTTCCAGCACTTCTTCAGCTCTCTGGAAGTTAGTACAGCCCCTACAGGCTAAGGGCTCAGGCCTTCAGGACTGCCCCCCTCCCCCATGCCAATCTCAAGTTAGGGGTTTCCGGATTATCCACACTTCTTTCTGACTTGGCTACAGATTGGGGGATCTCACGACCTCCTTTTCAGGTTTGATAATTTGCCATGATGGCTCACAGAATTCAGGGAAACACTTGACTGGTTTCTTATAAAGGACGCAGATGAACAGGAAGATGGAAAGGTAGGGTAGGGCAAGGTCTGAATGAGTCTCTCTGTGGATTTTGGCTTGTGGATGTGTCCACCAACCCGGAAGCTCTCCGAGCCCTACAGTTAGGGATTTTTTTTATGGCAGCATCATTAACTCAGTCTCCAGCTCCTCTCTAGAAGATGGGAGATAGGGCTTGTATTCTGGGTTGGATATTTCTGGTGACCAGCCCCCACCTAGAAACCCAACACAAAAGCCGCGCATATCGCCCAGGAAATTCCAAGGGACTTAGGAAGTCTGTGTTAGGGACTCGGGTCAGAGACCAGATACTAGAACAAAAGGTGCTCCTGGCACCCCTGTTGCTTGGGAAATTACAAAGGCTTTGGGAGCTCTGTGCCAGGAACTAAAGACAAAGATGGAAGAAATAGGAATTTTCTTTACAATATCATAGGCATTCGCAGTTATTTAGTCTCTGTAATCCTTCCTCATTTTCAACAACCTTTTATTATGGAAAATTTTAAGTTTTGCTAAAAGTAGAGAGGATAGTAATCTCCTGCCACCCATCTTCAACAGTGGTTGACGATTTGCCAGTCTTATTCTGTTTGTTCTCCAAGATTTTGTTTCATTTTGCTGGAGGTTTCTTTTTTTTTGAGTTGTGATCTCACTTTGTGTTCTAGCCTGGAGTGCAGTGGCATGATTACAGCTCACTGCAGCCTCGACCTCCTGGGCTTAGATGATTCTTCTGCCTCAGCCTCCCTAGTAGGTGGGACTACAGGCACACGCCAGCACGCCTGGCTAATTTTTAGATGTTTAGTTGAGACGAAGTCTTGTTGTGTTGTCCAGTCTTGCCATGTTGTCCAGGCTGGTCTTGGACTCTTGGTCTCATGCAATCCTACCTCTGCCTCCTGAAGTGCTAGGATTACAGTGTGAGCTGCTGCGCCCGTCAACTTGCTGGAGTACTTTAAACAGATCCTAGACATTAGTTACCATGGTTTTTAATTGTTTCATAGTAGTTTTTCAATGGATATATTAAAATTTAATCATTCTTCTGTTATTGGACACAATCACCTACAAGAAAGAAGTTGAGGCTAAATTAACAGAAGTAGTTTATCTGGGCCAAGCTTGAGAGTTGCAACCTAGGAGCGTAGATTCAAGTTGTCTTCAATATACACATTAGCAGCAGATGTAAGTGGATTTTTAAAGGCAAAAAAGAGAGACAACTTATACGAAGTTGTCAGGCAACTGATATAAAGCTGGGGTGGGGTTGCAGAGCTGGGGTGGGGGTTGCAGATGTAAATAGATTTTTAAAGGCAAAAAAGGGAGACAACTGATACAAAGTTGACAGAAATAACATTGATTAGTGATTGACTATACATTCTTTTTTTTTTTTTGAGTTGGAGTCTCATTCTGTCGCCCAGACTGGAGTGCAGTGGCCGCTCCCGGCCACCACAGCCTCGACCCGCTGGGCTCCCACGATCCTTCCGCCTCAGCCTTCTGAGTAGCCGGAATTACAGGCGCACGCTACCATGCCCGGCTAATTTTTTGATTTATTGTAGAGATGAGGTCTTGCCTGCCCAGGCGGGTCTCGAACCCATAGGCTCAGGCAATCCACTCACCTCAGCCTCCCAAAGGCTGAGCCACCGAGCCCGGCTGGCTGTACATTCTTAAGCTATAGGGTATGGGTTATGGTGTTTGGGTGGCATTGTTAGGTTAATTTTGCCACTTGTGGCAATAGCAAGCCTTTTCAAGAAATGAAAATATGGTGTGATTGCTGTTCCTCCCTCTTTAAAAAAAAATGTATTTCATTTTAGAGGCAGGTTCTTGTTCTGTTACCCAGGCTGAAGTGCAGTGGCACCATCATAATTCACAGCAGCCTCGAACTCCTGGACTCAAGTGATCCTCCAGCCTCAGCCTCCTGAGTAGCTCATGCTGCCATGAGCGACTGATTTTTGTGTTTGGTAGAGCCTGGGTCTCCCTGTGTGTCTCAAACTCCTATTCTTTTTTTTTTTTTTTGAGTTGGAGTCTCACTCTGTTGCCCAGACTGGAGTGCAGTGGCCGCTCCCGGCCACCGCAGCCTCGACCTGCTGGGCTCTGGTGATCCTTCCAAGTAGCCGAAACTACAGGCGTGCGCTACCACCCCCAGCTGATATTTTGATTTATTGTAGAGATGAGGTTTTGCTGCCCAGGCGGGTCTCGAACCCGCGGGCTCAGGCAATCCACTCATCTTAGCCTCCCAAAGGCTCGGGATTACAGGCTGAGCCACCGAGCCCGGCCAAACTCCTACTCTTAAGAGATCCTCCCACCTTGGCCTCTCAAAGGTTTGGAATGACAGTCATGAGCCACTGTGCCTGGCCTGCTGTCTTATTTTAATGTCTCTCTGGGCCTGATATTAAAAAAACTTGCATTCCTCAGATAAAAGTTCTTTTTTCAGACATTTCACATTGTTTCTAATTTTTTTGTTAAAATAATACCTTTAATATTTGATATAAACCAACTTGGTAAATATTTGTATATAAATGTGTAGTTGCTTCTGATTTTTTCTTCAGCTACATCTCAAGTTGACTTAAAAAATATGGGTGATTAAAATAGATTTTTGCAATTATACAAGTAATACATTTTCATTGTGGACATGTTGGGAAATTTAAAAAAGAGGATGTTAGGTTATCTCAATTGGACCTCCAGAATGGTAGGTCAGAGCCTCCGGGGGAGTGAGTATATGGTGTCTGTGATCCGGTGCTGCACAAAAGATGCAAAGAATTGCACAAAAGTTAGATTGGAAAATATAGTTTATTTGGAAAGTAATTTAGAGAGAGAAATTCACCTCTCCAAGGTAGGAGAGGGGGCCAAAGCTCAGGAAATATGGCTGCAGCTGTAGCTCAAAGAGCACATGGCCACACCAGAGTTTAGTAAAGCAGTGGCCACTGGCTGCTTGAGGTTGAATGCTTATAAATATTCCCCCTTAATGGGGACAGGTCTTTAAGGTGGTTGGCTGGTGATCTGCTCCACATCATCACAAAGGGGCAGGTAAGCACAAGTACTGATGTCAGGTGATGGACAGCAGGCAGATGGGTGGGTTAGTCACATGACTGCTGCCATGGTGATGGGGCCTCTTTGTCATGAAGGTCAAGAAGGGCTGATTAGTTTAACCTGGGCCTTAAGTGTGGAGACAAATACTTGAAATGTACAAAATTAGTACAAAACAGGCTGGGGTGGGGGTTGCAGAGCAGTTATCAATAGCTGCCTCTGAGAAACCCGTTCTGTCCTTGGCTAGTGATTAGATGGTGAGTTAAAGTGAACTGCTAGAGAAATATGACAGAGCTAAACAATGCTAAAATGGCTGCTCTTTGGCAACGTTGACTTCATGTTATATCCTTTCAGAAGAAAATAAAAATGGTCTCAGATTGCTTTCTGAGGAGATTCACCACCCATCTACAATTTTTTTTTTTTAGCTTGCTTCCTAGTTGAGGTTGGGAGGGGGCTTCTCAGTGGTTCTTCCTGGAGAAGGGCAGTCTGCCTTTCAGCTCAGCTTACGGGTGAAGCATTAGGCTTTGTGCTTGACTAGCAGATTAGAAGACAGCTTCGTGCCAAGTCCGGTTGACGGTTGATGAGTGACGGCTTGCCTTCCTAGTTCTCCAGTGCTGTGTCATCCCACCCTCTGGTCCATAGAGCTGTCAGTATCCCTGAGCTCCATCCTGTTGTTACTGTTGCTCCCGCTGCAGAATTTCCCCCCTGAATTTTGAGTTAGCATGAGACTGCTGGTCTCTTTCAAAAGCTGTGTTTTGAGAAACAGTGTTGAGAGATGTGACTCTTTACCACATGATGACTCAGAGAAAGTGCTGTGGTTTATCTTCTGTTGTCCATTCACTAAGTCAAAGGAAACTTGATAAGAAGCTGGAAATGCAAGTGTGGTTTCTTCATGTTGTGCTTGGTGGCTATTAGGTGATTAGTAGAAACAGTCATGTTGAGCCTGTTTAGTAAATTTTTAGAATGAGCCAGTTTTATTTGATTCTGTTTTTTGTTAGGACCTGGTAAATAAGCGTGACAGATTTGAGACTTTAAAAACTTATTTAGAAACATAGAAATGAGTTTAGTGTTTTATTCTCTTCACTAATTTTAAATACTGGAATTTCCTTTCTCTTTCAGTTCCAGGAATGGATGGAGGTGCTTTAACTGATGCAAATCTCACAGATTCCTATTTCAGCACCAGCTTTATTGGAGTCAATGGATTTGCGAGCCCTGTTGAAACAAAGTATCCCCTGATGCAGGTATCCTTAGTATACATGTATATTGCACTAAGCAGTATAGTTTGTACTAGGTGCAGGGGGCATCTGAGCTCTTCATTTATTCCTAAGTTTGTTGAGTGGGAGGTGAGATTTGAGGAGGTGATGAGGTGGGTAGCGTGTAGGTAACCTCCCTAGGGTAGGGTTCGAGAGGGTGACAGTATAGTGGGTAGAGGGTAGAGAGAGACTAATTCCATTCGTGTGTTTTGTATGTATATTAATTAAACTTGGTAGTGATAGCAATTTTTCATTTACTTTTTGAGCAGATAAAAAAGTTATCTGTTACAAAAGTTAAAAGAACCATACCTGTATTCGTAGCACTTTGGGAGGCTGAGGTGGTGATTACTTGAGGCCAGAAGTTTAAGGCCAGCCTGGGCAACATAGTGAGACCTCCCCCACCTCTGCAAAATATTTTTTTAAAAATTAGCTGGACATGTTGGGTGGTATATTCCTGTATTTTCAGCTACCCAGGAGGCTGAGGCAGGAGGATCACCTGAGCCCAGGAGTTTGAGCTGCAGTAAGCCATTATCGCACCACTGCACCCCACCATGAGTGACAGAGTGTAATCTTGTCTCTAAAAAAAAGTTACAAGTTACAAAACAGCTAATTAAGAAAAACTTTTTTTTAAAATTTTTATTTTATTTTATAGAGACAGCATCTTGCTGTGTTGCCCAGGCTGCTCTCAAACTCTTGGGTTCCAGCAGTCCTCCACCCTCGGCCTCCCAAAGTGCTGGGATTGTAGGTATGAGTCACTGTGCCTGGCCTGATCGAATACTTTTATTACTGTACTTCTCAGTGATATTCTTTACATGTGTTTTATTTTTTTAGAGAATGACTAATAGTAGCAGCTCCCCAAGCCTTCTAAATGACAGTGCCAAGCCATATGCAGGCCATGGTAAGACTTGGTTTCTTTTGCTTTTGTGTGTGTATGGATGTGTATTTCTGACTCTAAAATAAGCATATCCATCGCTGAAACTTTAAAAAATTGTAAATAAAAATAAAGAAGAAAATAAAATTTATTACCTTTCTACTCAGAAATAACTTATTTAGAGTCCCCCTTTTATCTATATGTGTAAATATTTATGTAGTAATAGGTAATTAAGATCACATTGAAGATACTTTTAATTATAAGGGCTTCAAAATCACTATAAGTTGAATTCCATTTTCATAGTTTTCTTAACTATTTTTTAAAAAAACTATTACACTATGTGCAAATATTTTGAGTAATTTCTTTTGGATGCAACTTAGAAGTAGAATTACTGTTTAAAAAATTATGAACATTTTAAAGGCATTTGATACATGGTTTCCAGGTATCTTTCTGTATCCTTTTAAAAAAAATAGTCAAGATTGATTTTAAAAAATATGCAACAAATGAGTGTTAATATTCCATATCAGTAAAATTTTAATAATTTGCACTTTGATTATTTCCTGTGATAGATGACTTTTGTGTATGTGTCAAATTTCCATCATTGTTTGGAAATTTCAACCCTTTGCTGTAGACAAAAACATTGCATTTTAGTATTGAATAACATTTTTAGCATTCCCATAGAGTTTAAATGCCAACTTTTAAATGCTATCAAAGGTAGCACAAAGGGTGAATAATACTACTTATACTTAAAGTGCCTTAAAATATAAAGTATATAAAATATTTTGTCTTGTTCTGTTAGCATTATTTGTTATTTGGCATTACGTTGATGTTAATTCTAATGAGAGTAAGCCTGAAAGTCCAGGTGGAAGAAGGCAGAGAATGAAGCAGCAGGCGAAGTTCATGGTATCATGAAGAGAGTCCAGCTTCCCCAAAGGAGGGCACTGGGTACATTTTCGAGGATTTCACAGATAATTTAATGGGATTACTAAGCATAATATTAGCTAAAACTCAGCAGTGAAGATAAATACTTCAGTATATCTATGCATCTTTTCAGAAGCTCTCGGGTTTGGTAAAGTGAGACATAATTAGAATGTATTATTTTGTGTGTAACGTCTGTCTGCAGAGTTAAGGAATTTGAACCTGTAATGTTTGTGTTTTGAAACATTTAGTATTACTATCTTTACAAATGTATTAAACCCATTTTTGGTAAGAATATCAGATATCTGGTGATAGACTTAAACCTGTGAATGGTTTGTAGAGTGGATGATTTGAAGGCCTTGCTGATGTGTTCATATCCAAGGCTGGATCTCTGAGTATGTCTGACCTCTCTCCCCTTCTTTTTAAATTCGTCTCAAGATTTGGTCTCAAGAACACAAACATTTATTTACTACAGGTAGAGTTACTTTCCTCTTAGACACACTCCCAATAGCATGGCTAAGACTCTTTTCTTTTTGTCTCTGTTTGATTTTTCTTTTAGTTCTAATCAGACAGATGTTTCCTAATCCATATAGCTTCTGTCTAAATGCATACTGAGTACTGACAGAATGAAGCATTCACCAATTTGTGTTTTATTCGCTCAGAAAATATGTGAGCATCCACTGTGTGAGGCACACTGAGTTTAATTATTGTGGCATATTATTTTTATTACTGTTAGAGGCACTGTGAAGTTAACATTTATTCGATTTGTGGGTTACCTGAGTTGTCTGTGTGGAAACTTATGTAACTTACCTTCCAGATCCTCTCACTTCACCTGCTTCATCCTTGTTTAATGATTTTGGTGCCCTCAACATCTCTCAGAGAAGAAAGGTAGGTGGAACTGAAACGTGAGTGACACTAGATGGAATCTAGATATGGTGTTGGGATTGGGACCTGTGTACTATCAGTATTTTCTTAAGTGGAGGGAGAACTTTTTATGGGCTGTAACATTTTTCTTGCTTTTTGTTTCTCCGTTTTCCTTATCTCTTATATGTGGAATTTTCTTTGGTCTCTGTACATGGAATACAGAGTTTTAATGTAAAGGGATGAAATCTTATTGCTTACTTTTGTTCTTTATTTTGACATATTCTGTTTTTAAGGTAACATCTAATTTAATGTTGTAGTTGCTGCTATTGTGACCCATTTGTAAGCATATTGATTATGTTTTAACTTTATTTTTGATGGTTTCATCTAAATTCCTAAGAGTTCTCCCCTAATTTAAGCTTCTCATTGCAAGGCAAACTTAAAAATTTCAATGTTTCATTAGCAACCCAGCTATTTAAAAAATAGTTTAAAATCTCTTCATATTAGAAATGTAATCTTATTGGATTTTATTACTGGTTTTTTGAAGAATTTTATAAGAACTGATTTTATGACGAGCTGAATAGTTTGATACCTTTGAGTCTTCATGAGAATCTTGTTCATGCTGGTAATCACCTGGAGAAAATGGTCCTTTTGGTTGGGATCAGTAGCAGCTGAAGATATTCGGGAGGTTGCACACCTTGGTGGGAATTACTGTAAAGTTATGAAACTCAGTTTCCTAAGTAAGAGAAGAACGATCAAAATGCAAGAATATTAATTTCACAAGACTGACAGGAACTTAAGATGCTTTTAGTAATAAGGGTCTGACCAGGGGATAGTGTAAAATGTAATTCAGGAAGACTCTTAAGATGGTGTCAGAGTTTACACTTATCCCCAAACTCAGTGAGTTGTATACACTAAATATGTACAACTTTTACATGTTAGTCGTACCTCAGTAAAGTGGTTTTAAAAATTCAGGAAGACTGGATGTGCTTAAGGCACAAGAAATGCTTGGAGACTGGTATAAATTACATTAGCCCCTCATGCACCTAGTGTTACTGCCATTGTGAATCAAGAATGAGAAAAGAAGGTGATTACAAAAGGCTTCTAAGCAAGTGGAATTGATAAAATACATAGGTCTCTCCAAGAATAGGTCTGTCTGTTTTTTTACAGGCTGTCACCAAGAAGAATAGATTTACTCTTGCTTTATATACTTTTCTCATACGTTGGAATATGCGGTTTCCAAATCCTTGTTAGTGGTGGCGTCGAGTGGGCACAAGCAGACCCCTGACGCAGTGAGATGACGCTGGGCAAATCCTGGCAGTGTGGAAATGACAGAGGTGCTGAAAGCAGCTAGTGTGGAGCAGTTATCTGTAGCTCTTCAGGGGAGCATAGAAAGTTCTTGCATGTCTAAGGCACTTGCCACTGGTGCTTTCTCATTTTAAAAGTAATCAATTAACTGGAATAAGTGGCATCTCTAATATATGAGTAGAAAGTAAAATTAGAATGGTGGTTGGAATGTGTCTTAAAGTTGAAGTATGTGATTTAGAGGTACTGACATTTATTTTTGAGAAAATAATAAACATCACTGGGATTGGAAAAGGGAAGATTCTTGTTAAAATTTATTTTAAAATAGTGAAAGGAAATGTTACTCTAAATGTGACTTCAATATTTGGAGAGAGATTAGGTATATCCTTACAGAAGCAGGCAAATATAATGAAATGAGCCCTGTAATTTTTGAGGTCCCAGATCTGTGTGACCTCTGACCAACTTTCTTCCCATCCGTGAAATTGTGAGCATGACCCTGGGTAGTTGCTGTGGTGTCATTCTTTTCTAAAACTCAATGTCTGTCTAAACTGAAAGCATCCACATGTGAGTCTCTATCTAGAAATTCATGGTTCATGTCTTCATATAGCTGTGAAGAACCATATTTTTTTGCCACTTAGATTTAAGATAATATGTAATCTAGGGCCATGGAGAGTTTTTCCAGTAGTGGGCTATATATAGTTAGAAATCTTCATGGGTATAGGTTGCATATATTTTTTAATTGTCAATGGTTGAGCTGAAAAGGTTTAAAATCTCTATTAAAAATACTTCTTTGCCCAGTGAAAGTGTGGGGAGGGGGGACTCTTGGCCTAAGGGCATTGCATTTATACATTGTGAATTGAAGGCATATGCAGACTTTGCCTGTGTTACTTTTGTTGTAGTAATTCATGTTAATAATATCTGTCTAATGATGTAATTGTAGGGAAATAACTCAAAATTATAGGTATATTATGCAAGTATTCAGTTAGGATTCCAGATTTATTTAAGCAGACTAGCACAATCACTTGGTGATGTTTCATTTCATAATGATGTAGAAGAACCAGATAGACCATACTTACCACGATTTCACAGCTAGTGGAGTCATCCTCTTAAAAAAATCTCATTTGAGTCAGTTCCTCAGCTAGCTGGGCTGATTTGGGCCTGTGGGATTGTATGACTCCTGGGGGTCAGATCAGTCAAGCGTCGTTACTATGGGCAGTTTTACTACATGCATGTGAAAAACTGAGAAAAAAGGACTGGTGTTTTTCCTGCTTCCTTCAGGTTGAATTGGAGAGGCAGTACATGAACATACTAGAGAATATACAGCGGTGTATTGGCTCCTTGATGACTGCTGCTAGGTAACAGAGTTCTGTAGAAGAATTTATAGAGAAAAGGTGTTTTGAGGTGGGTTTTTTTGAGGGTGAGGAATATGGAGAAGCAAAGATACCAAGGTAGAAAGTGTGCTTGATAAGGAATAGAGGTAGGGGCTTTAGTCAACTCTTTAATTCTGTTCTTTCTGAGACACAGGTAAGGTAAGAAAAAATGACCAAGGGCTTGGGTGTCTTTAGGAACTCATTGGAGTGGGATGTGGCCCAGCGCAGTGGCCTACCCATGTAATCCCAGCACTTTGGGAGCCCGAGGTGGTAGGATTGCTTGAGCCCCTGAGTTGGAGTCCAGGAGTTGGAGACCAAGAAAATAAGACCCCCTGTCTTTAAAAAAAAAAAAAATGAAGCAAGTAAAACATAGGATGTAAAAAACGTAGACTGTACAGAGGGATCTCAGCCTTTCATCTGGGCTGTATTATTGTTGTAAGTTGTGCAGAAACTAAAGGGTTGTGTACTGAAAATCCATGCCTTAGGTCCCTGCTGCTCACTGGATCAAGAGACCAGTGCTGAGCCATGAATTGTTTGCTATCTGTTTTTGAGGAGATAGTTAAATGTCAGTAAATGTCTAGAGACCTCCATAGCAGTCCGCTAGTGCTGTGACATCCAAATATACAAGTTTTCTAGCAATTCGTTTGTATCTTACAAAATTATGGGACCGTGATATATAGGAGCTTTTTTAAAAAAGTAATCATTCATATTGATGTTTGAGAAGCACTGATTTTTTTTCTTTTATTTTCTACATTGGAAATGCATAATTTTATAGATAGAAAAATTAACCATTAGTGGGTTTTGTTCAAAGTGGGAGTTAGCATGCTAGAGACTAATACACGAGTCAACCTTAATAACAAGATTGATGCAGTTCAAACTGATCACTGGTGCGAAAAGGCAAGTCTGAAAAGAAAAAGACTTAGAGTCATGGGATCATGCTTGTGATCGAGACCAGCAGTGAGGTTTTCTGTGAGGAGCATCTCTTTCACAAAGTTAAATGTTGAAACACAGGTAGTCATACGTGGAGTGGCTCAGTGCTGGGGTGCTTGCCAGTGATTCCTGCCACAGTGCGGGTTTATGTGGTACCACCGCACGTGACCGAGGCAGACCCAAGGCAGTGAGAGTCCTCAGTGTTTGGTTTGGCACTCTTGGCCTTCCCTCTTGTATCTCTCTGGGCTGTTACCTGTCTTTGTCTTCTTTTTTATTCCCCTAGTCATCTTCCTATCAGCCTTCCCCCTCCTCTTCATTCCTTAAAACAAAAGGCTCTGGCAACCGTGGCTTACTTTGGGATGTTGTTTCAGTCAATATACAGCTTTACCTCGATGTTCACATAGGATTTCTAATAGTGGGAGAACAGATTTTCACTTTTGTACTTTTTTTAGGCTTTAGTAACAAGTTATATTCTTTGGGCTCTGGAGACAAAGATGTCTGAAGTTTACGTCTTCTGGTCTTGCTTTTAAAGCTCTTTGTTAGGATGAGGGAAGTGGGACAGAAGGCTGGGTTGCCTGCTGATGGCTTACTTGTGAGGCGATGTGGATGGCGGAGGTCCAGTGCTGGATTATGCTGTGTGAGAGAACAGTTCACCAGCGGTGCTTTTCCCTGCTTGCTTCGTCATTAGAACCCAGTTTGGGTCCACTTTTGCATTATCTTTCTACTACTGCAGAATTTACAGGGGATAAATATATTCTGTCTTAGAGCATTTCTATTCTAAAATCTTTGAAAGATGACTTTTACATTGTTTCTACTCCAAGAAACAAAATATGGAATAACAGAGTTAGTTTTTAAAAAATGGAATAACAAAGAAACTGGAGAGTATTTACTATAGAGTTCTTTTATGGAGAAATTAATAGAAATAGAGCCTGGATGATTTAGAAAGTACATCCAAATCCTGCTGATGAGTAGGCCCTTTTGTCATATTGAATCAAGTGTTGATCTCGGGAAAAGATAAGGAGAAAATGGAGAAGATATTGAAAAATAACTGCAATTTTAAAGGTAATTGCAATCTAAACCTGTATCTGTGAAACAACTGTTTTTAAGTTCTTAATATATGTTCTGAAAGAAATAATGTCAACTTGGTATTTAGATTTCCACTTAGCCACATTATTGTCTTTTACCCATGAGTATTCAGTAGTGTTTTTATGGAAAATTTAGAGTTCGGAATTAATGGCCTCAGAGCTATTGTCTTTTCACTGGAGCCACTAAACTTGCATTCACCTCCCCTTGCCACCTGCAGGAACGTGTGCTATCTCGGCCTGAGCCAGGCATGCGTGAGGGTTTAGGCTACCAGTAGACATAGGCCCTATGGAAGCTGGTCGAGGTGTGGAGGGGAGGAGTACTATGCAGCGCTCCTGT